TTCTTTTGTTGATGGTTATTTTTCATTTTTTTTTTTTTTTTTCAATTTAGATTGATCGTGATGTCATTTTTGCAGTCACAATTCTTGAAAAAAAAGAATGAATTGAGCTCAATGAAATAGCCACATCTGCACTTTTAAAGCTCAACGACAACCAGAAGACAATTGATATCGCCACCTTGAAAAGCAGCTGGAAGCACCAAATTGCAATCTCATCACAATTATTTATAGCCTACCTGAGTGCAGTCGTTTCTTTTTCTGCCAACTCGTAACTTCATCGGGTTGGCCAATGCAACCCAAAAATTTGCATATTGGTCCTTTTTGTTGGACAGAGTGCTTTTTAACAGTTGCACTGTATTCTTAAATATCTGCTTGTTTTTTTCATTGGGTCAAAACTAGTTTCAGTATTCATCGGATTGTTCGTAAAACCGATATTGATCTAATGTGGGGGGAGCGGGGGGGGGGGAATAGAATGAAGATATATGGAGACATGTACACAGTTTCACACTCGCAACTGCCCCACCGAGGGCGACTCGAACGCTGACGCGGCTCGGAATGGAAAATGACTTCGACAGCCTCGCTCGCACATGTAAAGCGGACCGGCACTACATAAAGGGTGCAGCTAATTAACAGAATTCCCTGACGGACGGCGCACATCGGGATGCGGTGAACATCTCAGATCCGCCTCCGCCTGCTGCAGTCCATCACCGAGACGTTAACGTTAATGGCGCCAAGCCGCTGTTTGTTGCACAAAGCACTGACATCTTCATCCTCGATTTTTGTTTTCATGAAGAGGACAATGCCTTTCAGACACGTGGAATGCATCTGCAACTGACCGCAGAAATCAACAGGGTCACATGACGGCATGTCATGATGATGTTGCAATGTAACTAGCATAAGTTTTTTGGGGGTTTTTTGTTTGTTTGTTTTTTTGTGGGGCACTTGGTATTTTATCGTGGGATAAGGACACTACATTGAGGGGCCGATTATTTTTTTATTTTGCTTAACGGTGTGAAATGGGGCGTTCAGTGGACCAAGTTTTACGAGTGGCTGACTCCACGTGCAGGCAAACTTCGGGTTATGCTTTGGCTTGCAGTCATCGATTTAGTTTTTTTCCAGAAATGCTGGTTAGGTGTTGCCAAAAAAAAAAAATGTTCATGAGAGATGCTGAAAGGTTAACAAAGAGATGTTTCTAATTCATTTGACAGTCTAATGGGCAAAGAAAAGTACTTCAGCATTATTCAAAAGGGACTTTTCCACATTTAAAATTCCTCGTCGGGGTTAGTTTTAACCTTGCTGCAAAATAAATACGCTAGGAAACCATGTGATGGGCTGGATTTAGGTAACAGGTGTAGAAAGTAAAAACGAAACCGCAAAACGAAACGGCGGAATCAGCACTCGGGCACGTTGCGCTGAAATGACAAACAGAGCACAACTAGTGGTCATGAAATCTGCGGAGGTCTTGGTCTCGGTTGGCTAAGTGCGACAAGGAGTGGATATTAAAACCAGAAATCTCAGCACTTGGCAGTGTGATCAATAAGTCAGCGGCATTGACTAACGACACTCGGAGCAACAGAACATATTCCAGTCGTTTGGCTCCGATATATCAGTCGTATAGCTCTCTGCCGATGCCTCGTCCAAATTGGACCCCAGCAAATTCCTTCTCAATGACATTGCGGTGAAATGAATATACAACATACCGCACTAAAAGGCGCACTGGATTATGAGGCGCACCTTCAACGAATGGCCTATTTTGTCTTTTTTTTTCATATATTGGGCTCACCGCATTATAAGACGCAATCTACAATGCATCCACTAGATGGAGCTACGCTCAAGGAAACGCCAACAGAAATAACGATCAGATGTCAGTAAAACTTTTTGAATAAAGCAGCGACACAGTTCACTTAACCAACAGCAAGTTAGAACGTTGACTTGTTAACGTTGAACTCGCTTGCCGCTGCTCTATTTCCGTGTTCAACTGCGTAACCCGATCGCCTTAAGTTTGAACTCCTCGTTGTCAGCATGTCTCGAGCAAGGAGCCATTTTGGGGGCCGAAATATGACCGTAATGACACATCCATTTTAAGGCGCGCTGTGAGCTTTGAAGAAAATGGAAGGCTTCCAGGTGCGCCTTTTAGTGCGGAAAATACGGTACTTCTCTCATTTGCGGCGTGTGAAAGACACGAAGCAGAAGACCAAATCTGATAACCGTCAAGCATTCCAATTTCCTGACTGGCTTCAGACGTGCTTTTGAATGAACGCACACACACACACACACACACACACACACACACAGCACATAAACAAACCCCCTTTTCTGCTCTTTATGCGCACGCCCACCCAAACACGCCGATGGATCAATTTCACGTTTCCGCTCAGGGTTGCGGAAGATGTCGCCTTTCATTGCCAGTTTAAGGCACCGTGTTTGATCCCACCTAATGCTGCTATGCAAATCAGCCATTGTTATTCGATCTGCGCCTGTCCTCGTTTTCTTTGCGCCGTGATAAGTCCCCGACAATTATCTCTCCACCTCAGATGCTGCATCCTGTGGCCTATTTCCTAAAAATAGGGCACCGCTTTTTTGGCACTGCCACAACAAACAAACGGTTAACTCATTAAAGAGAGACAATAAGCCTGACTTTCTCGCGGCTTTGTAAGTGCTGAAAGGGAAAGCGTTCCGTCCCACCATAATGGTTTTAGCCACTCATTTGGGCACTTTGTTTCTTTTTTTTTTTTTGCCAGGGAGTTTAAAAAAAAAAAAAAAAAAGAAACAGCCATGAGCAACAGCTTTGCCACTCAGGCATTGATCAGATGATTCCAATTTGGTTGGGGTTGAATTTAAGTCCGACCACAATCTGACTGACAGAAACAATTGCATCCTGCGGGAAAATTATGCATCTAGGACGCGGGACGCAGAGGTAACGAGATGGCTGTATATATATATATATATATGAGAGAGAGAGATGCAATAGTTAATTGACAACTAATCAATTATTCCTTTTTTTTTTAACTTGTTTCATTATAAATTCAGCCTCTCAACAGTAAATGTTCTCAGATTTGGTGGTCGTCTATCTAAGAAAGCAGACTGGTTATATTTGTGTTGTTTCAAAAAAAAATTCCCAACTTAAATTTCCAAGTTAAGCGCTGTTGCCTGGTTGCTTTTTTTTCTTTTGACTTTGAGTTACAAACAAATTTCAAATGCCACTGAGAGAAGTTAAATTTAAAAAATGGAGCTGTTAAGGTACTGGAATGCCCTCACATGTGGGCAAGGAGCGCCACCGTCACTAAGGTACTTTGTTACTCGGGATAAACCGTCAGACACACAAACACAAAATGAAAACACTCATAAAGTGCTGCAGTTGATCACAACTCATGCCCAGAAGCGTTTTAAATATTTATTCTTCCACTTACAACGTCATTATCATGTGTCACAGTATCCATGTGGCCCGACGACTTCATTCCTATTCTACTGTACATCTCGCCTGCAAAGCGATGAAAAAAAAATGGGGGTCTGTGGGAGGTAGTGCCAGAAAAAAGGGTCTGCAAATGCATATGTATAACATGGGGGGGGGTGACTTCTCAAAGAGAATGCACAAGTAGGAGTGCCACTTTGATTTATCTGGATGGGAAATGCAAAGATGGACCTACCATAATCTGCGGCTTTCTTCCCGTAATCCTGCAGTTTTAGGAACGTAATGAGCAGCGTGAAGAGGAGTGGGTATAACATGCGTAAGCCCTGTCAGTGTGTGTGCGCGTGCATGCGCGTGCTTTTGTGTGTGTGAACGTGTGTGACTCAGGGTGGGGCAGTGTGGCCGCATACAATGGGAAAATGCAAGTTCATTCTGTTCTCGCTCATGACTCAAAAGACTGAAATCATCTTTCCACATTGAGATGAATGGAAATTGGATTAATCTGTTCCAGCCCCCCCCTAAGAAAACATTAAAAATAGCACTCTATGTGACTATACTTTACAAATACATAATGTCGTAAAGTAATTGAAGAAAGCATCAAGAATCAAACAGTTTTTGCCCTTTTTTTCAGTTCAGTGGACATTGTGTTGCTGCTCCTTCTATGGGGGACCATATGAACAAATGTGATTTTATATATATATATATCGGCTTTGCTGTGGGTTTAGTTTGACAGCAAACTTCAACTGGGAGTAGCAACAAACAGTTTGAAGCCACTCTTTATTGTATTTATTTATTTTGGAAGAATCGTTCACCATCTGCCAAACTGCTGCGAATTGTGAAGTAATTTGAATTCACTGCCAGCATAGAGGACTTAACAGGTCAAAAAAAAAAATAAAATAAAATAAAAATAAACTCGAACTATGTCTTTGAAAAAACACCCGATGGAAGTAAAAATGAGTTGTGATGCTGGCACTGTACAGAATGTGACATTTTCTGCGTGAACAGCAAAACACAACCACACGAGGGCAGGTGCATCCTCCTCCCAGCATGCACCCTCCGTCTGGCTGCCAAAAACTGAGGTTGTTGGTCATTTCCGGTGGGACTGGACTGGGGAAGGGCAAGCCGTGTTAGAATTGCTCAAGAATCGAACCCGGACGAAAGCTGGCAAGAGTCAATTTCCTGTCACTCTATTGGGTTCACTCTACAGTGGGACGAGGACACACGCAAACAAACAAACAAAAAAAAAATCCAATTATCAAAGTGTGTGTGGGGGGGATGGGGGGGGGCGGTTGAGGCTCATGCACTGCGTGGTGCTACTGAGCCGCCAAGTGGACTGTCTGCAAATTTCATCATAGGGGAGGAGGCGAGAGCTTCCAGGTAGGTGCGCGCCCTGGTTAAATTGTTCCATCACACACGCAGACTGCAGTCACTCCGAATAGGGAAATGAAATGCATTCACATCACGAGTTAACCCCCCCATTCATCAGAAATTATTAAACAACCCCCTAAATGAACCCGAATGGCCCCAGTGCGCAGTTATCCATCACGTCTGTTTTATGTGTAAACTTAACTCACGACCCTGTGTCAATACTCACCATCAGCAATAATGGTCTTCATGGTTTGAGGCGGGGTGTTAATGGTGTTACTGGAAGGTGCGTAAATCCAGACAGATCGGCAATCCGGAGGTGGGAACGGCCAGCCCCTGCAAACTTTAGCCGCGGCTCTTCCCGAGTGGGCAGCCCGCTCTGTGCCCGCACCCGAGCTCGGTCATGCGGGCGACTTGACGGAAAGAGTCCGGGATAAACATCCAGTTTAGGATCGGCGCGCTCGAGACACCAGTCGACGCCGAAATATAGGGCGTCAAAACAGCTCCGAGGTCCACATTGACACGCAGCACACTCACACAGACACACACAACAAACACAACAAAAAAAAAAATGGAAGAAGAAAAAGTCGAATCAGCGGCAAAGGCGCAAACACAAGATCGAATCCATGTTTTTTAAAAGCACGTATCCTCTTGTCCAATCCTGTAGTTTCCAAGTCGAAAGTGTGTGGATGCGCATGGATGGTGC